CCATCTCTAATTCCGTCTCTAATATCATTAGTAACGGAAAAAGTGAATTTAGGAACGAAAAAACCTCGTTACAAAATTGATAATTTTTTGTAGTGCCCTAAGATGACTAAATAATTTAATTAAAATATATATATATATAAATTATGAATTTTAAAATATGATTAAAATGTATAATTATATTTCAAAAAAAAAAGAAAGAGACAATTTATGTGGGACGGACTGATATGAAAATAGTAGACAAATTAAGTGGGAATGAGGGAGTAATAAATTAACATTATTAGACTTGGACGCGGAATTTATTAAAACTTAAGTATCTTATTAAAAAATATTATGATAAATACATCAATCAATCAAACTAAAAAATAATTTTTAATATAATTATATTTTTAGAAATTATTTTTTTATACATATAATTAATATATTATTAATATATTAATTAGGTTTGGGTCGGGTCTGGGTCTGAATAGAGTTCACAAGAACATTGCAAGTGCATCAACAATGTACGAATGACAGCAAAATGACGAATTTATTAAACAAGCCTTCAAAAGTCAAGCCTTCGTCACAGAGAAGCAGAATAATAGCAATTAGAAAGAGAGAGAAAATTGTAACAGAGGAAGGGAACATGGAGGCCGTATGAATAGAACCTGATGGTCCATAATTAAATAATCACCAGACCAATCACTATGGTCATTTTAGGACTATGAGAGGCCGAGACTGATGCATGAAATAGGGAGGTATGAAAAGTTTAAAATTTAATATTATTCATATCACAAGAAAAAAAAAAAAAGATGATGGTGATGAGGACTATGCTTTATTGATAGTTACAACTTTAAATGAAAAAGTTTGTTCTCATATTTCGTTTCTAAATATTGGTTGCACAAACCACATGAGTGGGAATAAAAATTTATTCATAAGTTGGATGAAACTATAAGGTCACATGTGAAATTTGCTAACAATAGTGCTATTGCAGTTATGTGGAAATGTAAGATCATCATCAAACTCAAAACTGGAGATCATAAATGTTCGTATATACCAAATATCAAGATCAACTTGCTAAGTGTTGGTCAGTTGATAGAAAAAAAGATACGGGTTGAACTTTAAGGACAAACTATTAGCTTTAGTCACAAAAGGAAACTCATTTTTAAGACACATTTAACTACAAATAGAGTGTTCAAGGTTAGCATCTCATATGATGCGCACACATGCCAGAAGGTTGTTTTAGAGGATAAATCTTGACTATGACATTTATGTTTTGGGCATTTAAACTTTCGCAATTTAAATTTACTTGTTCAAAAGAAAATGGTAGTTGATTTGCCAATTGTTCGACATCCAGAATAGTTTTGTGAAACATGTACAATTGGAAAACAGAGTCGACTCTTATTTACTTAAAAAAATCAGCATGTACGAGATAAGTTGCAGCTGGCCCACTATGATATTTATGGCTTGATGAACATTACGCTAAATGATAATAACAAACATGTTTTGACATTCATTGATGGTTTTAACCAGAAATGTTGGATTTATTTCTTTCAAAGAAAATCTAAAGTGTCAAATGCTTCAAAAAGTTCAATCTCAAGTCGAAAGAGAGAGCGGCTATTTATTTAAAGAGCTTCGAAATATGATAGAGGTGAATACATGTCTACAGAATTTCAAAAATTATGTGATGAGCAAGGAATCGGGCATGAAGTGAAATTTCCATATACTCCTCGACACAACATAATTTCCAAAAGAAAGGATAAATCAATATTGATTAACATGGCTAGAAGTATGTTAAATGTAAAAAGTATGCAAAAATCCTTCTAGATATAAGCTAATTCATGCTTTTTATATATATTATAGGTCTTCAACAAGAATCTTTTTAGAAATGACTCCCAATGAAGCATAGGTATAAGCCAAGTGTGGCACAATTGAAGGTATTTTTATCTGTTGTCTGTGTTCACTTTCCGGAAGAATGAAGAATGCAAACAAAGCTTGTTGATTGTGGTCTAAAGAATATCTTTGTTGGTTAAAAAAATGTGATGGTTATAAGTTGTATGATCCTACAATAAAGAGAGTAATTATTAGTAGGGTGTTGCTTTTGCAGAAAATGAGACGTGGAAGCGGAATGAAGAAACTTACCATCATCATGATAGGAATCTCATTTTTTATCTTAAGGAGATCTCTGAAAGTGCGTCTAACTTAAATACAGTTTCCAACTCGAATGTCCTAACACAACCTAAAGTTTAAAGGCCGATAAGACAACAAAACCACCTATTGTCTCGCGGGATTTTGAGGTAACAATAGACAATATTGTAGATGGTCATGAAAAATTTATACATCTTCCAATATTTGCAAAATATAAACCAATATACTTTGAAGAGGAAAATCAAGATCCTATGTGGGCGAAGGCCATACATAAAGAATTGAAAGCAATAGAGGAAAATGATACATAAAAGCTTACGAATCTTCCAAATGGGCATAAGGCTATTGGTGTAAAGTGGATTTTTAAGACACGTACGGGTGTATTTGTTTCAAGGATTTGGAAGTACTTCTACTATTCATACAAATTTTTTCCTCCCAAAATATCAAATCAAACATTTTTTCTTTTATTTTTACATTATATTAAAAATTAATTTTATATTCAAAATATCACATCAATATCTATTTATATCATATCATACAACTATTCTAATTCAAATTATTTACTATTCAAATCCCAATCCAAAATTCAAACCCCCAAACAAGCACACCCGTAAAAGATTTGATGTAAGTATAGAAAAATACAAGGCGAGATTCGTGGCAAATTGATACAAATAAAGATCCGGCTATAATTATGATGAGGTATTTCCTCATGTGGTTTGAATTGAAACTATAAGGTTGATTATTGTCTTGAAACACATAATCAATGGAAAAGTCCACCAAATGGATGTAAAATCAACATTTTTTTTTTATTACATTGAGATTAGGTAGTAATTACTGTCAATTTACAACACCTTAAATATTGTGCTATTTCAATGTGTCGGATATAACACTATTATGCAATTGCTCATAGGAGTTGGACTCTTTCTAGAGTTTGAGAGGAGTTTGGTCGAACCATTTTCCGACGTAATTATTTTACTCAGATGTGCTTTTTCATGAGAATTAATAGAAATGTATGAAAGGGTTCTAATGCGTGTTCATTTCACCATCACATCAATTGAAGAAAATTCATATATATTTTTTTAGTGTTTAAGTTTTGTTTTCTAGAGAGAGAGATTGTTCTATAAGTTAATCCATTAGGGATTTATCCCTTTATTATTAAGTTTGTTTTCAACTCAGTTGGTACGAAATAATACCAAACATATCGAAATTTCTTGGAGAAGTTTGATGTTGATCTTTTAAGCTCAGTTTTGGTTTTGACGCTGAAAATAAAAAATAAAAAAGAAGATTAGCATGAAGAAGAAGATGAAAATTTTTATGTTAAGGTATAAAGAATATGACAAAAAACTAAGGTTGAGATATTGTGATATGACCATCATGAAGTCTGTTGATCTGACTATATTGCCAACCAGACTAATAACCTAAAGCAGAGTCCAAAATTTCAAGTAGCTATCTCGAGTTTCTTCAAACATGTCATGGACTCAATATTCAAGAAAATTATTGAAGACGGATATGCCGGATATTGCATCTCTTATGTGTCAAACTCAAACATCACTTAACCAAGTCATGCCGAGACCTTCATCTCAAGAATCGGACTACAAATCAATAATATCAATAATTATGAAATAATCTCAAAGTTTTCATATTACTTATTTTTTTTATAGATTAAGTTTCTTTTATATTTATTTTCTTTTCACTAGCTTCCTTGTTTAGACTATTTTTCTTATTTTTATATTTTCTAGTTTAGATGTTGCCTTTTAAATTATTTCCTTTATTTTCAATGTTTTCTTTCTTCGACTATAAAGGACCTCTATATAAATACATTTTTATCATTGTAAAAAGACCACTCCTATATTGTTTATAAAAAAAAATTATTTTCAAGAGTGATTCTTGCTTGCGTGATTGCTCGGGATTGTGTGCTGCAATCCTTGGTAGTCTTTTGAAATCGGGTTATTTTCGAATGATTCGAGAAAGTTAGTCGTCTTTCAATCGGTGCTGGACTGCTTGTTGCATCAAATTCATTCCTTGATTGGTTTAGAGATATTGTGTTGCATGTTACCTAGTTTTCACGTGGTATTCATCCGACCAATCATTTGAATCGAAAATCCAGATTATTCTTCTATATTTCTTGTTTGGTTTAGAGATTTGTATCGTGAGTTGTGTAGTTCTCACGTGGTGTATATCCGACCAACTTTATGGATCGAGAAGCCAGATTATCCTTTTATCAATTCTTCCATCTCTATTCTTTCAATAAATTCCGCACATTTCTATTTCTTTATTCATATAGTTTGATTCTTCGATTACTTCCGCATCATATTGTAATTGTTTATTTGAGAAGAACATCTCCTCTGGAATAAGTAATTGATGCATTATATTGCTTTTGTATTGGTTTGTTTGTTCATTTTTAGTAAAGTTTATGGGATGATATCTAATTTATGTTATGCCTGAATTGTAGTAGAAATACTTCGTTAGAGATCCTTATATAGACCTCGTTGTTGGCTGAACTAAGTAAATAGATTTGATGTTGGGTTGTGTTCGTTTCACTTATATATCAGTACACACCACTGTGTCATTCAAAAATTATTTGAACAACACACAAATGATGGTCTTGAGTTGAGATGTGATATAAATAAATTTTAATTGGATTGTTTCAAATGAAAATCTAATTTTTTAAATATATACTATATTAAATAAAAAGTATATATTTAATTTAATAATTTGAATAAAAAAAAAATTGAAAATAAGTTTAAACCAGTGACAAACCAAATCCAGTTCCATTAAAGTCAAAATAGATATTCACAAAATTCATTGGGCCTTTTCATGGTTAATTTATTGAAAGCCCATATCGACAGTCCAATAAATTCCCCTCAAAGCGTTTTAACTGAATACCACAAGTCTCTCTCAGGTCTCAATTCCATTTCGCCGATGGGGAGCGAGGAGGAGAGCGCGGTGAAGGAGCCCTTGGACCTTATTCGTCTCAGCCTTGATGAGCGTATCTATGTTAAGCTTCGCCATGACCGCGAGCTTCGGGGCAAGCTCCATGTACGAAACTTCTCTTCTCTTCTCTTCTGCTCTCGTTAGAATGAATGATGTTTGTATGCATTTGTGTGTTGTGGTTTGCGCGAGCGAAGAAATAAAGTATTCGTGTGTTTCTTGATTGATCGGTTAATTTTGTAGTTCGAGTTTAATTGCATTTTCAGAATTAGGGCTACACTACGTAGGTAATCTTTGTCCTGTTTTGTTTGTTTTTGATCCATGTTTAAATGACTTTCTAGGTTTTCTGTTCCTTTGCTTTGGATTTGGGTGTCTATTGGTTGTTATAATAGTTATGGTGTTTGGCTGTGGACATTTGGGTCAAGTAATTGATTGTTTACGGCTGCTGGGGTTTTTGTTTTGGTACTTCAGTCTATTGGGCTGATTGATAATTGTCGAATTACTATATGTTGTTAACCTTATTGCCATATGTATTTTTCCCTTAATATAAGCTCGATCCTCTTCTTTATCCCACCACTTAAAAGACAAAGACTTGATTGTTTGTTTGGGACTGTAGGTTTTATGTTTAGGTACTTATGTCAATGGACAATAGCCGATGGGGTTTTTGTTTTGGCACTTCAGTCAATTGGGCTGATTGATAATTGTCAAGTTACTATATGCTGTTAACCTCATTGCCATGTGTATTTTTCCCTTCATATAAGCTCGATCTTCTTCTTTATCCCACCACTTAAAAGACAAAGACTTGATTGTTTGTTTGGGACTGTAGGTTTTATGTTTAGGTACTTATGTCAATGGATAATAGCCGATGGGGTTTTTGTTTTGGCACTTCAGTCAATTGGGCTGATTGATAATTGTCAAGTTACTATATGCTGTTAACCTCATTGCCATGTGTATTTTTCCCTTCATATAAGCTCGATCTTCTTCTTTATCCCACCACTTAAAAGACAAAGACTTGATTGTTTGTTTGGGACTGTAGGTTTTATGTTTAGGTACTTCGGTCAATGGATAATAGCCGATGAGACGTCTGCTCTACTAAACCTTCTTGTCATTTTCATTTCACTCTTCATACAAGCTCAATTTTGCAACCACATTAAGACTGTGGGGAGAGTTCTAAAACACCTATGGTGATACTGCAATGTCTATTTATTGGATTGGGATAGTCTTGGTGAGATCTGTGATTTCCATGTCCTTTCCTTGCATTTTTTAGAGGGCAGTATTTAGAAAGAGAACTACCTAAAATCCCTGCACTTTGTTTATATTCTCGCTGAAGGTCTTGTTTGGCCTCCCATAGCAATGCACACAATATACAACGAATAAAGTGTTGTTGGTTTGCCTCTCGGTCCCATTCTCTTAGTCTATTTTCTGAACAATATACTTTGTGGATTAGTTTACTTTATTGCTGATTGTTAAGTATACATCACTTTTATGGTGGATTTTATGTTCGGTGCATCTTTTTATTTGTTATATAAATTCCGTTATTGTATTCACAAATCATGTGAACCCTCTACAGGCTTATGATCAGCATTTGAATATGATTCTGGGTGATGTTGAAGAGATTGTTACAACCACAGATATTGATGATGAAACATACGAGGAAATTGTTAGGGTATGTAATTTTTTGTGCTGTTTTACAGCGGTCTGAGTTTTTCTCTTACAGAACAACATGATACATATTTTCAGTAATCTTATTACACATTGTCGAACTATGTCAAAATTTCACTTTGGCATGAACTTATCATCGACCTACTGTGCAAGCTTACTGATTGTATTTCTTTCAACTCTATATCCTGCTGTGCCTGCAATGATGTATATTTATTTGTTGTCTTTGCAGACCACGAGGCGCACAGTCCCGTTTCTCTTTGTCAGAGGTGATGGTGTGATATTGGTCTCGCCCCCGTTGAGAACAGCTTAGCCCTGCTTCAAATGAAACTCTTTTAACATGCACATGCAATACAACTCTCTTTACATATCTGCCAAAATTTAGTTGAACTTCAAAGTTTGGTACGTTTTCCGTAGACAATTGATGCTTATGTTATTATTATATTAGCAAGCTGGAATTATGCACAAACCCTCAAATTGTGTAGAGGGTTGGTTCTCACCATAGATGCTAAATACTACTTGGGCGTGCTTACGGTGTTTGATTACATTACATATGTGTACTTTGTGAGTGTCTTCACTTGATGCCTGCCTATTGTTTTGTCATTTGAGGAAAAAAAAGGCGTATTGTAAAAAAAAGGTGTAATATAATGTAAAATAATCGCCGGAAGTTTGCCGGAGTGGACAAATTTTATTTTGGGCTTTTAGTGTAAGAAATTAAGAATTGGGTTTAAATTAGGAGTAAAAGTCGAGTTTGGGCCCAAGTAGGGTAAAATAATTAATAAAAGCTTACGTATTTTATGTTTAATAAAATATAAAATAAAATTTAAAAAAAAAAGGAAAACAGAAAGGCAGCCAGCCTGCTCTGTTCTTTCTCCTATTGATATTTTTTTAAAATTATTGTCAAATGAATTTGCCCTAAAAAGTATTAGGTTTTGCTAATTTTTTTTTAAAAGTTGATTATAATGTCATCTATGGTTTATGTAAAGATTATTATCGTATTTTAAATTGAAAATCATAAAATTTATGGGATGGGTTTGAAATTCTAGTTTGGGTGAAAGTAGTGTGGTTGCGGCATGGGATTGAAGAAGCGACATGGAAAACTGAACAAGAAATGCGAAGAAAGTATCGAGAGTTGTTTGAGGTAGTTCCGGGTGTGCAAATTGATTTCGAGGACGAAATTTCCTAAGGGGGAAGGATGTAACACCCCGTAAAATAATCGCCGAAAGATTGCCGGAATCGGACAAATTTTATTTTATACCTAATTTATTTTGGGCTTTTAGTGTAAGAAATTAAAGAATTGAGTTTAAATTATGAGTAAAAGTTGAGTTTGGACCCAACTAGGGTAAAATAATTAATAAAGATCTAAGTATTTTATGTTCATAAAATTAAATTAAATTTAAAAAAAATAAAATAAACAGAAAGGCAGGTAGCCCGCGTCGCCCAGCCTCCTCTGTTCTTCCTTGGTTCTTCTTTGGAGTTCTTTTCTCCAAAACTCTTCATTTTGGTCTTTTTTTTTTCTAATTCCTAGACTCCTTCTATTGATATTTTTTCAAAATTATTGTCGAGTTTGCCCTAAAAGTGTTAAGTTTTGTCCATTTCTTCTAGTTGATTATAATGTCATCTAAGACTTATGTGAAGATTATTATTGTATTTTAAATTGAAAATCGTAGAATTTATAGGATGAGTTTGAAACTCTAGTTTTGTCGTAACCTAGTTATGGTTTTTGGAAAAAGATTTACGATTATATTTAAATATTTTGATTTTTTGGAGTTAGACCATGCCTATTGTGATTGACATATTATTCAAATATTTATTTGACGAAATAAAGAGATTATAACTTGTTGGGTCTAATATCCTACTTTTGCTTGGTGAAATGTTGACAATTGGAATATTTTGAGTTTAAAACACTTTTTTTGAAATTTGCCTAAGAGCATGTTGAGTATTTGGTCAAATTGGTAATTGAAACTACCCGTAGAGTCCGATCAACTCGTCGATTGTTTGGATGACACCTATGTGCCTTGCAAGCACGTGAGGGTATACCGGTATCTTAGGATAACTAGTTAACCTTAAACTAGATACCGAATGGGCTAGGTCAAGGGATCGAGATGGTGGATTCCCTTTTTGGGTGATTCCGAGGTGCCCGTCATTCACGATAAAAAGGTCTTTAGACCGTCATCCGTGATGGAGGGATGGATTGCGTACAATCCCCTCTTGGTATGTTATATTGGAGATTAGAGGGTTGTGGACCTTATGGCGCCCCTCGCAAACTAATAATAAATTGATTTACGTGTACCTTGGATTTCGAACCCTTATGTACACATTGTGGAGTTTTCCTTGAGAGTTGTGACCTATGGTTGTTATGTGAAACTATGTGACGTGTCATACAAAGTAATAAGGTTGGAAAACTGGGTCGAGCCGGCCCTGATTAAGGCCTAGTGAAGTTTTCTTCCTGATGTGCTCATTACTATTATTTGAGAATGAAAAGGAGATATAAGGGAGATGCTAAAAGACTCGTGTGTGTGAATTCCCCTTATGTGATACGTGTCATCTTATTCGACTATTTTCTTCAAATGATTTTGTGGCATTATACCGTATTAATTTATCTTCGATTAATTGCGCTTACTCAACCATTGTATTGACCCTCTTCTTACGATCTTTTTGTAGGTGATCATGCTTTCGTTAATACCTAAATGATGCATTCACGTCATATAATCCATCGGGGGAATTAGAACTACTTTACCTTCTAAAATGTTTTGAAATTCATTGATTATGTTTAAAGACTAATGTCTTTTGAACTATTTCCAATTTATGTTTTTTATTCGAACTTTAATTATTTAATTGATAAGCTGGTGCGCTTTAATTCTAAATTCCTATTTAGTTTTTTGTATTTATTGTTTTAGCCTTAGCGCCACAACGTAGGACTCATTGATTGATGAACGAGTCTTCCAGTATGGCGTGGCGGTGACGCTCCGGTTTGAGCCGGCCGGGGTGTTACAAAAGGTGTTTTGTCAATTGTTGTGCTGCATTGTAAAAAAAGGTGTATGTGTGTACTCATGAAATATATGTATACGGGGATTTGTATCTATCCAATATAAGTTGATAACTAAAATTTGAAGCCATATTAGGTAGCATATAATCAATTTTGGGAGTGGAAAACTTATAATAATCGTTAGATGTATACGTAGCTCTTTTTGTACTTCACAGCAGCCATTTCCACATACCGTACAATCAACTAATAGCAAACACAGTGGTTGTGTATATAAAAAGCCTCTGTAGCATAAATAAAAATTCCAGCTTCTCCAACTTTCAATACATAGGTCCATTTTCTCTAATCTCGCATCCAGTTGAACTCGAAATCATCTTTTTTTTTTCAATACATTTCTTTGATTTTTGGTCTCCTTCCTCTCTGGATGGTCTTTGAGTTCGAGTAAGTTTTCTTGTTTCAGAGATTTAGTGGTTAAAATATATTGTAGTTCAACCTAAGGTTGGTGTTGTTTACATGAATGATTTTCAATTAGATTTTTTATGAGAGATTTCTCATAAAATGTTCAATTTTTATGTTTAATCATTGACGAGAAATGTTATAATTCTCTAGTGTGATGGGTACTGATCGATCTATCAGATTAGCTTCATTCCTTTACTATTTTTATTTTGGAAGATTTATGACAGGAGAAAGTAAGTTGATTTGCATTTGGATTTGGATTTGGTAGGTAAAAGACATTCATTTGATTTGGGATTAGTGCACAATAATATGAATAGTTAATATTTATACTAATGTTGTTATTTGTTTGAGACTCTTCAATTTAGTATAGATTTGGGATTATATAATAATTTGACTCGTGTTGTACACGTAGTCGCTACAAATTCATTTATGTAATGTATACATAGGCAAAATGTGGATGCTTTCATAGCCGAATGTATTGAATGGATTTGCCTATAAATAGGCATTACACAATGAAAGGAATAAGATTCAGTTTTATTCACTCGCTTATGCTCTTTTCATCTCTTCACTTAATTAATTATTAGCATAGCATATTATATATATATATATATATATTACTACACTAACATACACACAACACACATATATATAAAAGCATACACAATGCCACACACACTTATATCTATTTACATATATTTATATACACAATATATATAATATAATACAATATACTCCCTCCATCCCAAATACTCAGCAACATTTCTTTTTTGGTATGTCCCAAACATCCTGCAACATTTTCAAAATAAGAAATAATTAATTATACTTAATCTCTATCCTACACTTTATCCCCTTACATCATCCAAATAAAAAAATAAAATATATATTTATCTCTTCATCACATCACCTACTTAATCTCTACCCTACACTTTATCCCCTTACATCATCCAAATAAAAAAATAAAATATATATTTATCTCTTCATCACATCACTTAATTTCTAAATTATCCTACTTAATACTACCCACCTAAAAACCCGTGCCAAAAGCAAATGTTGCACCTTGTTTGGGAGAAAGGGAGTATAAAATAGTGGTTAACGGTAGAAATAATTAATATTTCTATTGGTTATCCCTATAATAATATTATAACACCTTATCAGCACGATTGTGTATTTTAATTTATGCGAGGTAATATTTTATATTTTATCTGTTTATTATGTCTAATATTGTCAAACAGAAATTTCTCACTCTCCTCATTTCTGGCCAAAAGTATATGGCATGAGCTCGCGATGTTAAAATGCATCTGGCATCAATGGGCTTGAAAAATACCATTGCCCGGGATAAAAACTCCCCGAGCCAAGATCGTGCAAAGGCCATGATCTTTTTGTGCCATCACATCGATGAGGCATTGAAAATGCAGTATGTCACGCTGGAATCCCCACTTGAATTGTGGGAGAGATTGAAAGAAAGATATGATCATTTGAGGCCGACATTGTTGCAAAGGGCACGAAGCGAATGGCAAAGCCTACGGCTTCAGGACTTTAAAACAGTCCAAGAATATAATTCTACGATGTTTAAAATAACATCACAGCTGCGCCACTGTGGCGAAAATATATCTGAATCTGATATGATGGAGAAAATTTTCTCTACTTTTCATGCCTCTAACATGGTTTTGCAGCAGCAGTATCGCGAAAGAGGCTTCCAGAAATATTCTAAGCTGATCACTTGTCTTTTGCTGGCCGAACAAAATACTGAATTGCTGTTGAAAAATCACGAATCTCGGCCGACATGTGAAAATCCATTTCCAGAGGCAAATGCAATACAGCCGGCAAATCCAGTGCGTGGTCGTGGGCAAGTCAGAAATCAGCGAATTGATCGTGATCGAAATCAGAATCGCGGACGGGGCCGGGCAAATGCATACAGTCACAATAATTATCAAAACAGGCCCCGATATGTGCCAAATCGGCGTTATAATGACAGAAGGCCGTACAGACCTCAACAGAGGTTCAACATCGGGAGAAACAGAAACAATGACAAGGAATGCACCCGGTGTGGAATCAAAGGCCATTAAGCCCATGTTTGTCGCACGGCCAGTCATTTGGCTGAATTGTAT